GAAGTAAGTGACTGAGTTGTTGCTATTCAATGTACAGAACAATAAGAGAAAGAAACCTGAAGGAACATTTCGTAATGTTATTTTATGTTTACTTCTTTTTATAAGTTTGTGGCCCGTTTCCTAAAGGTATTGGTATCATTGGACAGGGCTGAAATACACAGTGCTTGAATGAGTGGTGTGTTTACTTTGGAGCTGCTGTTTTTAATAGAACTTTTCAGGGGTAAGAAAAAGTCTTCAGAGTTTTCCTAAGAATTTCTCTTACTGCATACACACATACACATTTTTTTTCTTAGTTCTGCATTTAAACATGCTCCCATTTGACATCATTAGCTTATACACAAAAAATGCTACAGTACTGACTTGTCTTTGAAATTTTGTACAGGGGCAAAGAATAAATAATTTCTGTTGCAGTGTTTGTATTCTAAAAACCTGAGGTGAATTAAAAACAGTTATATACCAATATGACATTTTAATATTTTCAAAAAGTACTGTCACATGACTCCAACTGCTAAAAGAACTGCATGTATCAGCAAGAAAAATATTTGAACAACTTTGTTTTCAGTTTCAAAATGATGCACCATGTTTTATAAGCTTCTTTGAGAATAGGATCTTATTTAGCCTGTTTTTAGCCTTAGCTTGGTTTTGTCAGTTATCCAAAAATTTCTAGTTACAAAGAATAAAAGCACTGTTTGCAAGTGTGCCTACAAACAGCAAAGCTCCATTTTCAGCTGTGCAGAGAGAGGTACTATATAAGATTGCATAGCAACATGTGTTTTTCTTTAATGAAGAATGCAAACATTGCAGCTTAATTTAAATCTTTATTTTCATTGCAGATCTGACCCTACAGTAAAGATGATTAAACTGGTTCTGATTAGCTGTTGAAAACCCTGCCATTGTAATACAGGGCACCTGAGTGTTTCAAGCAATAGACTAAGGCACGAGAAAAAACTGCTTACATACTACTCTAAACATATTTTTTCTGAGACTGTAGTTGACTTGTTCTCACACACTTACACTACAAGAGGACTGGGTTCTATGTTGATGCAGTTATGCTGCTGTCAGATGACTACAGCTTATTTTAAGACAATTACAGTAACTCTTTACAACTTCGCTAGTGTGAAAGTGTATTCTAAAAGTTCTTTGAGGAAAAATTATTCCTTGAGCAACTGAACTTTTAGGTTTGCACCTGTATATAAGGGCTTGCTTTCTCCGTTTTTCTTTCTAGATACCTGTTAAATTTTGGTACTGTGAGTTATTACCTTGGTTACAATGCAATGCAGGATTTCTTTCCAACTATGTCTATGAAGCCAAACCCACAATGTAGTGACCAAAACTGCAGAAAACAGCAAGAAAATTATAAGGTAAAAATGTTTGGGGTGGCTTTTTTTTTTTTTTTCCTTTCTTAAAGTCTTGAGAATAAAACAAGCTACAGGTCTGTAGTAAAAGAAAACTTTCATTGCTACTCCAATTTTCAGTACCCTTGTCTTCAGATGGTTGCAAGTGTTTCTAAAAATACAGTACTTAGTTATCTTAAAGCAAAGGGTAGGCAGAATGGCTTGCATTCAGTTAGATAGTATTTTCTTCTACAGTAGTTCCTCAACCTTTCTGGCAGTCACATCTTTGAGTGTTAATGGGTTTGGGTTTTTTTAACTTGCAGATATTCTGCATTTTTATGCCTAACGAAGTTCTAAATGGTGACTGCATATCTTAAATATTAAAAGAAATGTGAATATTAGATTTGATCTTCTTTGCTGTTGTTGAAAATTGGACTATTACATATATTAGGGTTTTTATCTTTTTGTCTTTTTTCTTCAGAAAAAAGAAGCTGCACGACCAAAACAAGAAGTAATTGAACAGGAAGAAGAAATAGTACATGAAGACAATGACTGGGGTAAGTAATCAACTGGAGACTAAATGATGTTCCCAGTACTGAGATTCAATTAAAGTCTTTGTTTTGGGTAAACACACTGTAGGGTACATAGACTTCTTATGGATCCTATTTTTTGTAACTTAATGCTGCGTAATTGCTGTTGGCTTTTTACAGGTTTTGCCAATAATGTTACCACAACTTGATGATGTATTTTTAGTGTAATGTGCAGGTTTTAGGCTCAAAATGTAACAGCCATTTGAATAAAAAACATTCTCAAAGATGGTGTGAAGATATGAAAGATATGAGAAGACGTATTCACTGTGTGTTCCTTTTAAATATGTAACTAAAGAGCATTTGTCATTTCCGTAACCACTGTGCTGAGGCATCCCATGGACTTTTATATTCCTCTGAGGGCTTTAAATTAGAAGGAATTGTCTTAAGGCATGGTAAGCTTGTTTTATATAACCATTTTGAGAATGGATATATACATTCTGTTTATTACATGATATAGAAAATAATCTTAGCTTACCATTGGGAGAAGTGTCCTCACAGTAAGATTTAAATGGTAAGGACAAGGAAGTCCTATAGGAGAGGTGCCATTCTTGTCCATAAGTTACCTGTATAGAACCATTTCATATATTGTAAAGGGAAAATATTTTGTATTGATAATGGAATGAAGTAGTGGAAATCAAAGGGGTTTCTGCTTTTAAATTTTTTCTATTTCTGAAAAGTAGCTGCTGTTTTCCTCTTACTGTGATACCATAGTGATTAAAGAACTTTTTCTTCTAACTTTTAATGGAGTTCTCGATTCCTTCTAATGCAAAGGCATCGAATTAGTATCAGAAATTACAGAAGATGAGCTGAAGGCTGCATCTGGCCCAGTACCTGAGCTCCCTGAGGGAATTACTGTAGCATATACTATCCCAAACAAGGTAATATATTTATTCTTTATGAATTTTTGAAATACATGTTGTAGATTAAACTTATAATACTAGCCAGTTTGGTTACCCTTTAAACCTAGAATAAAATTCTGTCTTGAACGATTCCAGTGAAACTGTACCTCAGTACATCTGATTAGTGCCTTCTATGGTTCAGCTTTGTGTTTCTATGAAATACATTTCTTTTAAGCATGGATGCTAGCGTGAGTGTAGTTTTGAGGCGATAGGAATGAATGTAATTGGGTGGTGGGTGAAGGAAAACAAGTGTGAATTTCTCAGCTGATATTTTGGTGACTAATTAATTTTTACCATATTTATCTTGTAAAAGCTATGTGTAGTCAGAGAGCAATTAGTATACCTGGGGAACGCAGAATCTGTATGTATTGCAGCCAGAACATTCCAACCCCTAGTCAGAATAGTTTACAATTTAAGCTTATAATCACTTAGGCCTAATCTTGCAGTTGAGTGCTTGGTCCTAGGAAAATGGTGTGGTATATCAGCAATAAAGCTTGTATGTTTGGGGTTTTTTGTTTGCTATTTTTGTTGCCAACTTTTTCTTCCTGTTCCTAATAGGAAGAAAATTTGATAACTGAAGAAACAGTAGCAGAGTCTGAAGAAAGCCTAGAAGAACTCATGGCCAAAATGAGAAACATGTAGCAAAACAAATACTAAGTACAACTTTGGGGAGTTCGGATTCACATTGGATTTTGAGAAAACCAGACTTTTTTTTTTTTTTCCTTCTCCACTTCCACTGAAGCTTATCTTTACATTTCTGATGAAATTGAACTGTTACAGGGGCAGGAAGGAAACAGATTTACTTTGTTTACATTCTGTTGTCTATTCATGTCTTTAAGATAGGGAGTTGTGCCACTGTACATTTTAATTTCTCAGCATTGCTAGTCTCCAGATACTCAGTAGAAAATAAAAGGAGATGGATAAACTAACAAAAGCAGGTGTAGCACATTATATGCAATATGTGATGAGAATAGTACGTGGTATTGAATGGGTTAAGGGCAGATGATCATGCCTCACTCATGTTGCTGCTCCTGATTTTCCAGGCACTTGTACTTCTTGTTGTTCACTGGTCTCTGTCAATTCCTGGCATGGATCATGCTGTGGCTACTTTTTCTGAGTAAACAGAGTATTTCAGCCTTTTCATCCACCTGAAATATCTCTGGGATGGAATTTTTTTTAACTTCCCTGGTTTTATCAATGTTTTACTACTGCTTGTTCTTAAATAGCTGTCTATATGTTTTGTATGTGATAATGATTTGAGTATGCTGCAACAAGGCGAAGTCTTTTGTTAACAGATAATTATACCAGCAGACTAGGTATTAGCATGCCACTATTTCAGCTGGCAGATGCTTTTCATGACAAAATCTGTAAGAATTACCAGCAACATTGGAAGGAACAGGAGATTTTTGTCTATCTCTTCGAAAATCTAAATATTATATTTTTGTTGGTTTATTAAAAGTTTAGTTATGATTCTGATCCATCCCCATCATATGGGCTATAATAAGGAATATACTTAATCTTAGTTTGTATAGGAAAGCTTCTAAAATTAGGTGCTCTAAACTTTGTTTAGTGTTACAAATATCTTCAGTGGAGTAGCTGAGCTATTGTATTTGTCTTGTAAATAATGTTAGTACAGTCATACTACCTTTTAACTTATCACGTGTTGAACTGACCTGTAAATGTACATGTCCTGTAGTGCCAGTACCCTGCAGAACTGGAAGTATTAATTTCAAATATTTTAACTACTGTGGGTGTCTGATACAGAACTTAATCATTATTTAGATTTGGCTTAGAAGAACACAAATTTCAGCCTTTGCAGTGTAATACAAATACTTCCAACTGGGCTGTTCAAAAAACCTTTCTACAGTATGATGCAGCCAACATGGAACCAGCTCGTAATGGCAGTAGCAGTATGCAACCAACATGTAAACAGAGAGTAATATTGTGGAGGTGCTTCTGTTCCTTAGGGCAGCTGAATGAATACTTAGTTAAAAAATGTTTGATTTCTAAGCAACGGTTACAAACTTCAAAATCCATTTCCTCCACAGCTGACACTAGATTATATTATATACATAAAAATCCTCTCTGAAGCTACTGAGGGAGGTTTTGGGTGGGGTTTGGGTGTGGTGCATTGTACTGTAAAATGGAAGCAGGTTTTTTGGATCAAGTTCAGTTTTGGAGAAACCAAATTTTAAAAATTAACTGTAAAGAGGGATGGGAAATAGAATAATGAGATCATTAAAAAGGTACATACTTGGATCCGTGTTGCTAATAGTGTCTACGTTAGCTTAATCCGAGTGTCAATTTAAGTGTTACTTACATTTCTTTGTTACTTTACCTTTCTGTTGGGAACAATAAAAGTGAGGCATACACGGTTGACTCATTTCTACAATAACTAAATTAATCTTGACTCTTAACTCTTTGGTTGACATCACTGCTATCACATGATTGACATCTTTACAAGAGGCAACTGTTTACGATTTTACTTCATGTACAGTTTTATGAGCAAATTAATACACTTTTGTATGCTCACTGAGAGTATGCAAGATGGTTCTCGTGTTACTTTCAGACTTTCAAGTTGTATATACAAGAATAATTTGAAATAATTAGAAAACACATTAAGATGGTTATATGTGCCAATGGTTAAAATTATTTAAAAATAAAGAGCATCAAAAAAAGCAGCTTCAAGGATCTTTTTTTAATTAAAAACACATTTACAAGTATAATCTATTCCAACCATAAAACATAATGGAAAATTTATGACTTTTGTTATAAACTAACAAATTAAAGCATATTGCAATGGTTTAGTCCAGCTTTGTTTATTTGGCAATCTTATAAAAGAAGCTTTCCATTTTTACAGTGTATCGTGAATGTTACTGAGATGTTGATATACTGACTGTATGATTAAATCTCCACTGAAACTGGTGCCACTCTGAGGTGGAGTTCTGCTACATAGAAGTATTATTTGGCATACACCACATATACAAATTTTTTTTTTTTAAAAATGTCCATGAGGTACAACTACAAATACACGAACAACTGCCTTAAGAGCGCTGTAACTGTAGCTGCATAAGCTTATGGCCAACATGCAGCCTGCAAGACTCTCCACTACTACTTGTGATCCTGTTTTACCTTCTGTAGAAAGTTTTCTTTGGGTAGACAGGGTAAGCATATAATTTCCTCAGCATCTTTGCTAATGGACCATGGATGGTTGGGATCTGCTGCTTTTTAGGGACTGATTTTTCTTCCAAAAGCAACCCTACAACCTATGAATCAGTTGGAGAGAAGTCACTCAAGGGAAGAATAGTAACAGTTCAGAACTGGAAGTCACTAAATGGGGAAAGTCTGATATAACACCAAAGGTCTAGAAAGTAGCTTCTTATTTAAGCTAGCAACATTAAAGAAAACTGCTTAGGAAAGCAAGATACTTCATTATACAGGTTAAAATCAGAACAGAGGTGACAAAGCTAGACCAGACATCTGATAATTCGTAACATTGGCTTTAGAGGAGGGAATTACCAGGTCTGAGAAGAGAAGGCAACAGAAACGCATACAAGCTGAGAAGGTTGAGGTTTTGGGGTTTTTTTTTCTCCTTTCGCCCCTCTCCGTACTCAGTAACAATAACTCCAGTTTTCAAAATTTTTCAAGGTGGCTGGAATACAGTAGAAAAAGTCTTGCTTTGATTAAAACCCCATTTTCTGAAGTAAAAGGAAAATATCCAGAGAGCTATTACAAAGTGTCAACTCTTGTTGCTGTACTGTAATACCTTCAAGAGCTACTTTTGATTCCCCCCCCCCAACTAAATCTTAATCTTAAAAATCAAATTTGGGTTGTGTATTTCTTCCATCAGTTTTATATACCATTTCTTTTGCTAAGTTACAGTCTTACCAAGAATATTTAATTCCTTCTAACCAGAACAAGGGCTGAAATGGGTTACATTTAACTCTACTCTAAAAGGGAAAAAATACTGTGGAAGGTAAGTAGCCCTTTGCGGTAAAGGCCATTTGCATTTTTCAAACTGGAGCAAATAAATCCTTACATCAGTTGCCTCTGAAACATCATAGTGAGGTTTCAATTAATTTTTCACTTACATCCCATTTTTTATAAAAATTCTTTTTTTAGTATCTATTTAAATTGATTCTTGTATTTATGCACTAAATGAGAACAGATGTCAAACTGATTCTTCCAGATGACTAGGTTATTAAGAAATACAACAGGCAGGTAGATGTGATTAGCATCTCTTTATCTGACGGCAAACTATTTTGCATCACTAGGTTTTTGCAGCTACTACAAACATTCTTGTATTTTAAGGGATTCAATGAGATTAAGTAGTGAAAGTATTGATAAAGGGTTAACTGAGAATCGGGTCATAATTATCTCCATTCTGATTCCTCACTGGAAGTATTTTTACTGAACACAGCTGAATCTGACAACAGCTTTAACTGTAGATGATGACATATTTAGATATATTAGCTTCCCAAAGAAACCAATTATTTTTGCACAAGTCCCTTGAATGTAAGCTTGCTTAAAGCTGAAATCAGCCTGCAGGTAAAACTTTGGGTGGAACAGTATTTTGACTTTTTCAAAATTACTCTCTCTTTAGAAACAACTTTAAAAGCTTCTGAAAAGGCAGAAAGGGCTGATGAAACAAAAATACACAAATCCTCTAAGCCAGGCTATTACAACATAGAAATAAGAACTACCCCACAGAGTATATACAATTGGTTCAACTTAACTTGTTATAATCCTGGCACTCAGGCTAAGAGGTCTCAAATCCATGTTTTTGGTATTAGCTATAACTTGAGCTAGTAACTAATAGCATATATATATATATACACACAATGAAAGAAGCTCACTTTATACCATGAAGTCTACAAAGTTAACATGGAAGGATTTCAAGCTTAAACATTTGTTTCCCTGTCATTCATGAAGACAGGTGTCAGTCCCAGAATAGTATGTTATCCTAGGAAAAATAGATTTGTCTTAATAATTTTAAGTCTGCTTTAAAACAGCAATAGAGACTGCCTTTTCTTTGAGCAGATTTATATCACCTTTGTCCATGTTCCAGGAAAATGTTTGGTGATAATGCACTTTTTAAGCTGAATGTATCTCCACTCAATGAGTGTCGAGAAGTTGCTTTTCCACCTATCAACAAAGTCTCTGCTTCTTTAATTTCCATAGCTCTCTTGTAAAGTTCCGCTGCCTTCTCAAAGTCTCCCCCTTCATAGCTTTGGAGAAGAGTAAAACAAAGGTGAAACAAGCAAATAAACCAAGTCTCTCAATTCGTTTAAATTGAAATGCACACCATGCTATCAACAAAGTGTACTCAAGGCTCTCTACTTTCCTAATGAGTACACAAGTCCAGGATGTTTTGTTTCATCCAGTCATTTTTGCAGTAATTTGCTTTTATAGGGCTAAAACATATAATCTTACCTCAGCACAGCCAAGTTTTTCAGAGTTTCCCCCACACGAGGATGCATGTGACCAAAGCTGTCTTCATAAATCTTTAATGCACGTTCATAAAGAGGTAAAGCTTCAATCTGCTTTTTCTTCGGGTCATAGAAAGTTGTTTGTTACAGACGTATATTATATTTGCTATTCTTTTTTCCAACATAGTATCAACACATCCTAGATGCAAAGTCATGCATATTTAACCAA